TCGGAAGAGTAACAATAAATATTACCTATCCGAGGTTTTCCCTTTAAGAGTATCGCGAAGAACATCGAAGGTGAATAATATCGATGATCGCGGGTTTTTCTCCTCCGCCGTTCGCGGATCTGTCAATTTTCGTTCTTCCGTTGACAGATTGCAGTCATCTCGACGTGCGACGTGCGACGTGCGATGCGCCGATTGCAATTCGGACCGTGAAAAGAAACGCAACGTACCTGCTGACGAGCAAATCGCGAACTCGGAAAATGTAACAAAAATCCGTATGCACCGAAGGAGAAGAAAAAGAGAGGCGTATAGTATATAGAAAGCCAGAGGCCAGTCGCTCCGAATCTCGGAGAGAAGCGTCCATCATAAGCGTCGAAGAGCGAATGCCGATCGCGACGAATAAACGCACCGATATAATAAACAAGACGATGTGACATACGAATTCATTACCTGGGTATACAATTCGGGGGAGTACGATCCACCTCCCAGGTGGCGAACAGCTTCATGGGAACGGGCCGGGTGGCTGGAGCAGTTACCTTCGTCCGTTCCGCCATTTTCGGCCTAAGCGGGCCACGAGCGACACCGAACTATCCTAACGTTTCACCGCGTCCCGCGGCTCGCAGACGACTATCTCATCAATGACCGTGAAGCGCGGCTGGGAGCTGGGAGCTGGGAGCTGAGAAGCTGGGACACACACGGCACACGGCATACGGACAAACGGAATGGATCGGCGACGGAGATTCCGGATTCCGAGTCGCCCGTGGCGCCGTCACGCGTCACGCCCGTTTATGTTTGTATTTGTGCGCGGTCGCGAGTCGCGAGTCGCGACGTCGCGAGTGGTACACATCCGCGAGCCGCGGCGCGGCTCATGGCGCAGATCAACGGATCAATCGGAGGGAGAAGAGAGAATTCGCGTTAAGGTTAAGTCATGAGCCCCGATTACCCATAATGCAATGTAAAGAATCGATGGGTGAGCAGCCGCTATTGAAAAGAGATGCTAAATAAGGTAGACTGTTATTGGCTCACACATCGATTCTTTGCATTGCATTATGGGTAATCGGGGCTCATGACTTAACTTTCTTATATATAACCTTACCACCTTACCACTAGTAAGGGCCACCGCACAAGCTTTTCCGTAATGCATTACGTTACGTTAAGTACTGATTCTAAACCTAAAAACTCGTACGTAACCTTAAACTTCAGTCAACGCACAAACAAAATCGTAGTATGCTTTTGTTACGTTACGATTTTCTCTGTGCGTTGACTGAAGTTTGAGATTACGTACGAGTTTAGGTTGAATCAGTACTTAACATAACGTAATGCATTACGGAAAAGCTTGTGCGGTGACCCTAAAGCCCGTATCAGACTACGCATTAAAGATTGAGATTCAAGATACAAGATTGAAATTTCACCAATCAGGACAAAGAAATTTTAGTCCCTTTTGTTCTGATTAGTTAAATTCCAATCTTTAATCTTTAATCTTCAATTTTCAATGTGTAGTCTGATACGGGCTTAAGCCCTCTGTGCCTCTGTGGCGCCTCTCCAAATTGAAAAAGCTGTGGACGGATGAGTTTGCGAACGCATCGCCGCCATTGTTATATATGCGTATTATATACTAAATATAAAATATTTATAAAATTTTTAGAATAGAAGAGATATATTTAATGTAAATATTTAGATGTAGAGTCTCTATATAGATGCGCGTGCGCGCACGCGCGCGTATGTTATGACATTCGTGCATTTCCATTAGACTTGAAGATATTTAATACATCAAAAATCCTCTTCCAGATTACAAATCTCTCGTTTATTGTACGTACATAGGCGTATGTGTTATTTACGTAAGCGGGTATTCCCGTATAAATCTTAGTGGAAAGTTTAATTTTTTTTAGGTTGTGAGGGGTTTTCGCGTTAGAGGACACGATGCTCGAGAAATACAGTATACTTCGTCAAGAGTTTCTCAGCCAAGCTGAGCCGTTTATTGACAGCAAAGCTTTGAACAAACTGAAACTCAATTACATGCACGATATCGATTCGAAACGTAAATTAAGCAAGGTAACGGATCTACAAACGTTAATAAGACTACTAGAAAAACGAGATATTGTCAGTTATGACAAAATAGAGCCATTGCGATACATATCAAAGACATTCGTTGGTGATCCAAACTTGGAAAGCAGGTTGCACGATTATGAAAATTGGTTGAGGACTATGCCGACATTACATTTATGTAATATGTATCAAAATGATGAAGGTAAATGTCTGTTATGATATTACTGTGCTCACATGTCATTTTATTTGATAAACTCGTAGCATAGAATGACAAAGCAGTTTTAGTGCATCATAATTATTTATATTATGTTGCAAAATTAATTTGTTTTAAAATTTCTAAATAATTTGTTAGAAGAATAGTGTAATACAGAATTAAAAATTGAAGATAGTTTTAGAAATATTAGTATGTTGTATTAGCAATATAATTTTTACTTATTTTAAATACATTACTGATATGATGTTAAACTAACAATTTTTATTTTTGCAAACAGTCTTTCATTCAATTTCATCAATCTTAGGGTCCCCATCTAGTTCTAATTTATCTCAATCGACAATAGGAAGATCTGCTGAATCATTTAGTCAGATTACACAAACATTACATTGTTGTCTGGAGCAGGAAGAAAGAAATAATCTCAATGAGAGAAGAAAATTGCTGCAACAAACAGGTATTTTTAATATCTTAAGTTGGATAGATTTTAATGTTTCTATTTTTTTTTTGCGTGTACATAATATATAAAATATATATATATATTTCTTCTTTTTAAAGTGTTACTGCAACTCAAGGACAGATTGGGTCGATCCTGGAGAGATGTAGCTAGACATTTAGATATTAGAGAATGTGAAATTGATGCTGTACAAAGTAAATATCCTTTTGATTTGAAGGAGCAAAGTTATGAGGTAAGATCATGTACATATATACATGGTGAATCACTAGAGATGTTACAGGCTATTTCTGAAACTGAACGAGATGAAATCCTTATCTTCCAGCGACTATTTGGTATCGAAGCAGGCATTATGTGATGAAGTTGCCTATAACGCCTTTAGTGATTCATTCTGTATATATATACACGTATATGTATATCTGTGAATACATACATTGGCACCCGCGTCCGATCATCGCGCATAATTGTCAATATAATAGTTACAATAATTTATGATGATTGTATGTGAGATGGCATTGTGTAGGGGAGAATATGAAGGGATACATATGTATATATATATGTATATATATATATACACGTATATGTATATCTATGGATATATGTATGTCTCACTACGTGCCTAAAATAAAAACACAGATTAAACTGATATTAAAATATAATTTTTGTTCCAAGATTTTGCGAATTTATATATCGCAATCCGACACGGAGCGATGGGCGATAAATTTAATACGCGCTTTGGAAAAAGGAAGACGCAAAGATCTTAAGGAACTTGTAGAAGAATTAGTATTGAAAAATAAAAATTTATGATATGATTCATATGAATTCGCACAATTATGTCCATAGAATTTTCTTTTTTTATTGTATAGAAAGAGGATAGGTATCTGGTATTTAAACTACTTATTATTAAAAATTTAGTTATTAAATATTTATATATATTTGCACTATTTATTTTGCTGATGTATATGGTCAAATGTTTAACCCTTGCCTAGCTAAATATCAACTGTCAGAGTGTTGTTTCAGGTGGTTAAGGAGGAGAGAAAAATAAAATAAATAATTAAAATATTTCAGCAGAGATGGATTCGAATAAATTAGATATCCATTAGGCAAGAATTAATAAAATGCAAACCAGAAAAATATTACACAAATTACAAGAATTTATTTGTTGAAAGATAATAAAGTTGTGTAAATTACATCTAAATGTATAATTTCATCATGACCACATACATGTTATCAGTCATAGGGAAATACAGCAGCCTGCGCATTTCTTCCTAAACTAAATGTAAATTACACATACTATACCTCTCTTAAAACTAAATGTTTATATTAATATTTTTCTCTCTTCATCTACTTCAATTCAACTTCAATTTACTTCAGTTTTACTTGAGTTCAACATATATTTATTAATTTTCACTTAATTTTTGTTGTTAGATGAAAACATGGCTACAATGGTCATATAACATGCTTTCCAAAACAAAGTTTAATTTTTTGTAATATAATGTAGAGACACTTTCTCTCACAATTATATCATTTATAATTTATCCAGAAATTTTTGAAACTATCTAATCATTAATAATTCATTTAGTAATTTTGGAAATTAATATCTTAACGAACAACTTAAGGGTGATATAATAAATGTAACAATATTTTTAAAGCGTATATGTATTTCTTGTTTGACTGCCAGCTTTGATCATAGTATCTTTATGCACTTGATATCCCATAGTTGTTTTTGATGTGATCCTTAATCTTTCCTTCAGTTTACGACTAAAATCAAAATAATATAATAACGAAATCTCGATAATCCGTTAATAGTTAGATAAAAAGAATCAATTTAATTTACCCAATTTCCATAACACTATCCGCGGAATCTGCATTTGACGTCCAAATACCAAGTTTGTCTCCCTTTGGCCTCACATTTACTACAGCCCCACATACATCATCGGAGTATTCGTTGAATGCTTCCCCAATCATACAAAGCAAAATTTCTAACCAAAAATTATCTAGATCCGTAGTTCTTTGCCTCTTATCTAAATTTATTAACCATCGACCGCCACATTTGTTCTGATCGTCTTCCCACATAGGCCGAATACCTTGTTTAAACATGCTATAGTCACAACCCTGTCTCAACTCGGAGGCTGTCTTTATGTGGTTGTACAAGCTGTCCGAGAAAAGTAATTTTTCTCCGTTAATTCATGTTCTACAATACATATAGATACTGACGTATCTTTCGTACACCGAGGAAAGAAAGACGCACCTCCAGAAATCTTCAGCTGTATCGAAACTAGTTATCTCCCGTTGACTCTCTTCCCACGATTTATTCTTATCGGGCTCGTAATACCATAAGGTCCAAGTGTTTTGCAATGGATGCTTGATCAAATATTCAGGCGGGAATTCGCCGGTATTTGTTACTTCAGTGTTTTGTTTGCGATCGATTTCCTGAAAAAAAAGTTTTAGTGCTTTATTGCAATGCGTCCAACGCGTAATATTATTATATTGAGAGATCATAGGATTCGATGCGCGAAAGTTACAGGCGACCTTATGACCTGATGATGTACACGTTAACCTGTACAATTTCTATTACCGTGTACATTTCTCCGCGAATGATCCTTTATCGTCTTTCAAAATTCTCGCTTTGTATTTCTGGTAATTAAGCGATTATTTATAGAATAAGAAACGACCGCCGATACGAGGCGAACAATTTTACAAACGTAAGAGCGTCATAGCTTTAGCTTCTTTAGGACACTTTCTACGTAAGGAATATTCGGTAGAACGTTGTGAAGAAGGGGGAGGGGGAGAAGGACGCGGAGGGGAGAAGGATATGGAAAGCTCCGAAAAAGAGTGAGAGAGAGAGAGAGAGAGAGTATCTTCTCGCTGTCGTGTGCGCGAAATCGGAAAATCCTTTTCTCGTCGAAATGTACGAATTATCCGGATTCCTACGCGCGGAATCATAACGTGATTTTGACGGATTCCTCCGCGCTGCAAATACCTCGATTTCTTCGGAAATACTCGTAGCCATGTCACTTCAATATGCACACACGCTCTCTGGGGAAGCCGCAAACTGGCAGCAGGCGCATCTGTTCTGTGCTTCTGCGATTTCGCAATATTCTCCATAGATGATATAAGAAAATAGATGGCAAACCTTTGACTATGGCTGCGATCGGGAAGACGTTAGAAATGCTTCGAAGCATTTGATTGACCAATCAGGACAAAAAGAGTAAAAATTTCTTTATTCTGATTGGTTAATGTAATGCTTCGAAGCATCTCTAGCGTCTTCCCGACCGCAGCCTATATAGTCAAAGGTTGAAATATTCAAATAAATAAGACACAAAAAGGGATTCTCAAATGACAAAATGACACAGTTTGAAAAACTATTGTTAAAAGTAAGAAATGATTTACGGGAGCAGTATGTTATAAACATGCAGAAAAAAAAATTATGAAAATTATATCCCTTAATCCCTGATTAGATTCTAATATTCTGCTGGGAGGTAGTAACGTTTTATATATATTTTGTTTAATAATAATAATAATAATATCTATTGTGTATAATGTAAATAAATATCCATTTTCAGTATTAGTAATGTGTATCAGAACATATTTTTTTTATCTCGACCAAATTCGAATCTTGTTCAGATTCCTGCGCAATGATTTCTGTGCAGATGTAGACGCAGACGCTCGACGCTCGATGCTCGATGCTCGATGCTGTCATGTAATGGCACCTTTAAGCCCGTATCAGACTACGCATTGAAGATTGAGATTCAAGATTCAAGATTAAAATTTGACCAATCAGGACAAAGAAATTTTAGTCCCTTTTGTTCTGATTAGTCAAATTTCAATCTTTAGTCTTCAATCTTCAATTTTCAATGCGTAGTCTGATACGGGCTTTACGGTTGACAGTTGCGGATTGACCAAGCCGGCAAGCTACATTGCTCTGATTGGTCAATCCGCAATTGTCAATCGTAACTCCAACCATAATCGCAACCGAGCCAGCAACCCGTAGGGCTGCGTTCGAGAACATCACCCGTGTGCACCGAGCGTCATTCTATCTTTGTTATTTACTGAAAGTTGAACAAGGATAGAACGACGCTCGTGTGCACACGGGTGATGTTCTCGAACGCGACCTAGTGTAATAACTGTTTTTATGGAATTGCAAGCAAAACGAACAAACTTATATGTATACTTATATATCTTCTTCTTCTTTCTTTTATGGCTGGTTGGGCATTAGTCGCCCATACACCATTGTTTCTTATGGGTTTGTAGAATATAAGCAAAACTCCTCTAAGAGAGGAGGGAGTCCAAAAAAAGGTCCAGACAAAGGACATACGCAGCACGCAAAAACACGTCCGAACCCGACACGTTGTCAGTCGGAACTTTATTCGCGAAAAGCCATATTGTATACTTATATATCTATGATTGAACCATAGACATAGTATATCTAGACCGAGCGTTTGCCTTTATTTATGGAGTATGTCCTTTTCTACGTGCACCTCGGCTCCCATTCCACAACACTCGGTCTAGATATACTATGTCTATGAGATATACTATGTCTATGGATTGAACACTGAACAATGAACACGTGTTAAAAGTTCTATCATGGATAATACAAATAAAATACAACATTTAATTGTTGACACAAGTGCCTTTATAAGGAATGCTGCTTTGCAGGTATTTATTAAATAAAATAAATATGATGTGTAAATAAATGCGTACATTGTTTATTTATTGTGAGGTTATGTGTATAAAATATATCGAAAAATTTATAATCGATGTAATTTAATTTGAAATATAGTTTTTATTGAATATATGAAAATATGTTCTGGTCTTATAGCATTTTTTAACAAGATTAAAACAGGAATTTTGTAAAAAATATTTATTTTTAGGACATTGGAGTCAACATTTTAACGGAACAAGCTGTCGTCGATGAAATCACGAGCAAGAGGCAGTTAAGAAGACTGGTTGTACTACCATATGACTTGAAAGTTCAAGAGGCTTTCACTGAAAACATAAAATTTGGTAATTAGAGCTCATTAAATGCTTTCACTGTTTCATGTCTACTGTGCCAAGAATATATGCAACAAAATATACAATCACTATTGTATTCAATTATTTTTCCACTTTAAATATTCTTTCCAAGCTTAAAAACTTATTGCTGGCATGAGAAACAAAATTAATATTCCATTAGTGATATATATAATAGCAAATTTGATAATGTATTTATATATATGTTTTGTATCATCACTTACATACTAATTACGTTTCTATATATTATGTGGTCATTCTGACATTAATATATTTTGAATATATTGAATATTGACAGTGACTGAATTTTCTAAAAAAAGTGGCGATTATACCAGCTTGTCTGCTACAGACATCAAAGTCATTGCACTCACTTATCAATTGGAAAAAGAAAAAGTCGGGACAGCACATTTGAAAGATACCCCAACAATAAGGACTATTGCATCTACTGAAGATAAACAAAACGGAGATGATCTTAAATTACCAATTGGTTTTTACATACCGAAGAAAACAGTAAGATGTTTTCTGAAGTACTGTATTATTTTTGTATATACGTAAATGCATGTATACGTATATGTGTGTGTGTGTGTGTGTGTGTGCGTGCGTGCGTGTGTATTATATATATATATATATATATATATATAATGTGACAATTTTCCCTATTATTATCTGTATTCTGTATTTAGGAAAGGACAGAATTAGATGCAGATAATAATACAGAGGTTTCAAATAATGTGGAAAAAACAGATATAAAAGAAAACATCGGACACATACAGATTACAAAAGAATCAGCAGTAAATGACACAATAAATGATATAGAAAAGCAAGAGCAACCATCTGATGCATCGTCGACTGAACTTGAATCAGATTATGAAACTGCGACATCAGATATTGAAGACAATAAAACAGAAGACTTAACTGAAAAATTTGCTAAATTGAAATGCAACCCAACAGATTTTGAAGTAGAAGGTAAGAATGAGAGTAAGCATGATGTCAATGATATTCTTGCTCCAGTTAATACAGCAATATCTGAAGATGAAGAAAGTGACATAGAATCAATCGAGGATGAAGATGACGATGACAATGGTTGGATTACACCAGGTAAACATAAAATTGTAAATTGTTTAAACCTTATTAGAGTGCATTAGTGCAAAAATTATTCTCTCTTATCTCTATATTTGTGAATATTAATACCTAAAAATTTATGTTGCATAAGCAAACATTGCCGATGTAAAAAAGCAAATGAATTCGGAGATTCTCGAAGAAAAGACTGCTACTGTCGCATGCTTAACAATGGATTTTGCAATGCAAAATGTACTCATGCAAATGGGATTGAATGTAGTTGCATTAGATGGCAGAGTGATCAAACAGATGCGAACGTTTATATTTAGATGTTGTGCCTGTTTTAAGACCACTAGTATCATGACAAAGATTTTCTGTCCACATTGTGGTAATAAGACACTGAAAAAAGTAGAAGTCACGTTAGATGAGAACGGAAAACAACAAGTCCATATAAATTTTCGGAGACCTCTCTCAGCCAAAGGAAAGAGGGTATGTATGTTGTATTAATTATCCTAATATAATCCTGTCCTTAATCCTTACGATTTAATTACACACATACACATATACAATAAAAATTAAAATCTAAAATCGATGAAACTTTTTTAGTTCCCATTACCAATGCCAAAAGGTGGGAAACATGCAAACAATCCCATTTTGTGCGAGGATCAACCAATGCCACAGCAATATCCGTCACGTTTGGCGCGCATGAAAAACAATCCCCTCGATGATGATTATATAGCTGGATATTCTCCATTCGTTATGCGTGATATAAATTCAAAGTCAGCTATGTTAGGCATAAGACCAGACGGTGTTATCAAGTACTGGATGAAAAAAAATCCTAATGAATCCAAAAAGAGACGAAAATAAAAACGATTGATTATTAAATCAATTTTACTAGTTATTATTTAGATATTTTATAATGAGAAATTTTTTTTTATATCTATTAAATCTTCCCATTCCCCTTCCTCCACACATTTAATTATTATGTGTGTATCTATAATATATAAATTTACTATAGTTTACATATCAATTTCATAAAATTTACACTATACAACATATATATATATATATATATATATACTAGTATCACCTACGAGATATCATTAAAGACCGGTGGTCTTATTGAATTTAGAGTGACTGGAAAAAAAAACTTGCTGCGCGTTATTTTAATTCATCCAGTTATTGTTTTATTATCGAAAATGTATAGATCTTTTATATAACTGCCTCAAGAACAACAAAATAAACATTTTATTGTAAATTTACTGTTTTATTATCGACAATGCAAAGATTTACTTACCTACAGTAGCGTGTGGCGAATTTTTTTCCCGCCATTAGTAATATGCTAAATCCCATAAGACCATCGGTCTCTAATGATATCGCGTCGGTGTTTTCGATAATAAAACAATAACTGGAGGAAGTAAAATAACCGTATGAATTAAATAATTCGTATAATTATCTTCGATGCAATCAAACGGCCGGTAATAACAACATTCTTCAATTACCTCCGGGCCCATTGGACCCACTTGATGGTCACAAAAATTTATCCAGGGTTGACGGTCTTTAATAGAATCTCGTCGGTGCTAGTATTTAACAGTTATTTATTTTCACACAATTTATACAAAAAATTGAAAAAAAAATGCCCCGGGTGAGGATCGAACTCACGACCTTAAGATTATGAGACTTACGCGCTGCCTACTGCGCTACCGAGGCTATTGTGTAACTCCATCTAAGTTTACAAATATTTGTACACAAGTAGAGAGAGAAGTGATAAAAAGTAGAGTTCCTTTAATCAGAGTTAGGACAATCCGCCATTTATAGCCAAATTGTTACGCGCCAATTTTGAATTGATACATTATATTTCTAGAAAACGTCCTGAGAACTGCCTTTTGACATAAATATATATACAGGGTATCCGACAAGTAAGTGACCAAATGAAAGGTGAAGGTAGATTGGGTCAAACTGAATCGAAAAGTCCTGAACCATTTTTTTTTATAACTCTTAAGGCCGATATTACATTTGTCGTACGACAAACTTTTTAAGCGCATTTGTTAGCTAATTTCTAGAGACTCAAGAAAGTTTCTATTTTGCAGCCAATCAATATGCTTAAAAACTTTGTCGTACGATAAATGTAATATCGGCCTTATAAAGGAATTATTATTGAATAAAGTCTGGCCAATCAACGCCAACCTTTAGCCGGGCGCACGTCAGTGAGCCGCGCGCCGTGAAGTATGCACCGCCACATACTACCAGGCACGCGGCTCACCGACGTGCGTCCGGCTAAAGGTCGGCGCTGATTGGCCAGACTTTACTCAATAATAATAATTTTCCGCTAGCTTGGCTATTAAGGCTAAGTTCCAAAACGGTGTAAAATTTCCTCTCCGAGGAAAATTTTACTCGATGGCCAGTCTGGAACCAATCAGAGACGCTCAAAAAAGTTTCGGAACGGCCATCGGAGTAAAATTGTCCTCGAAGAGTACGTTTTGAAACATAGCCTAAATATGGCGGATTGGAATGACCAATCAGCAATTGATAGCCCCATAGACATAGTATATCTAGACCGAGTGTTGATGAGTGGGAGCCGTGGTGCACGTAGAAAAGGACATACTCTGTTTCGTGTTCCTTGCGTTCTCTCTTGCTCGCACGTAGCATGACGAAAGAGAGCGCTATGCTCTGTGCGAGCGAGAAAGAACGCAGGGGCACGAAACAGAGTATGTCCTTTTCTACGTGTATCTTTACCCCCACTCCTTAAATAAAGGCAAACGCTCGGTCTAGATATACTATGTCTATGGATAACCCGGTGTCCTAGGCCGGTATTCATAGTCCGTTCTTATATCCAAGATCGTCTTAAGTGTGATCTTGGGTCGTCTTAAGATCCCATTCAACCAATGAAATGGCCGCATAGTATCTTAAGATCGTACTTAAGACGATCTTGAATATAAGAACGGACTATGAATACCGGCCCTAATGGCTTCTGCACACAGGACGCGGAAACGCTTGCCGCATAGCAAAAGACGATGCAGTAGCCAATCAACTTACAACTTTTCCATCAGAGCGAAAAATTGATTGGCTACCGCGTCGTCTTTTGCCGCGCGCAAGCGTTTCCGCATCCTGTGTGCAGGAGCCATAACTCTGATTAAAGGAACTCTAATAAAAAATTGGATTAGGTTTGTTTGTGGTATGTGTGTGTGTGTGTGTATGATTAGGTTAGATCTTAGAACATATATAAGTGGAAGGGGAATAGCAGGCTGAAAAGTGTCGGAAGGAAGTGAGAAAGAAAATGTAGTTGCCTCTCTCTTGGGAGTAACTACACATATAAGCATCGTGTCTGTGGTATACATACTTTTGTGTACACACACATGGCCGTGCATGCGCACTTTTGAGCAGAGTTACTCACAAAAGAGAGGCAACTATGATTTTCTTTCTTACTTCCTTCCGACATGTTTTTCTATCGGGAAACAAAGGCAGTCCCCTTCCATTTATATATGTTCTAAGGGTTAGATTGGACATTGGACGAATCAACTGACCCATAACTATATAAACCGATTAATATAGGCTGAGCCGCGTTCGAGAACATCATCCGTGTGCACACGAGCATCGTTCTATCTTTATTCAACTTTCAGTAAATAACAAAGATAGAACGACGCTCGGTGATGCTCGAACGCAGCCCTGTGGTCGGGAAAACGCTACAAATGCTTCGAAACATTTGATTGACCAATCAGGACAAAAAGAATAAAAATTTCTTTATTCTGATTGGTTAAAGCAATGCTTCGAAGCATCTCTAGCGTCTTCCCGATCGCAGCTATCGTTATATATATATATATATATATA